CCTCCCTTCTGCAACCACCATTTTCAGTGCAGGAGCAGCTTGTATGAGCGTCAGGTGAAGGATATAAAGGGTGACAGGCCAAGCAGGAGTAGGAAATTAGGGAGGCAGTTTATATATACTAGGCAGTCCCCAGGAGTTTTTGTTGGAGCTAGAGCAATGAAAATAACAACATAATAACAACCAGTATTTCCTGCCACATTCCACATCCTCCACCTCCTTGAGTTGCCCAACAGCCCTGAAAGTTTGCCTCTGTGTCCTTAACCTTACTTTGTGATTTTTACTGAATCATTATATGCAGTTGTCAGTTTCTTGAGGGCAGGAACTGTGTTTTTTATTTCATGAACATGCACACATATATAAACCACACAGACATAAACATTCTTAAACTGACTGCCAAGAGGTTAAGATTCACTTGTAGAAGAATTGCTAGGATCTGAGGATGAAAGAACTATTAAGGCTGTAAAGAGACCAATGACACCATCAGAGAGAACTGGAAGAAAATCCATGGAGGACGAGCCAGGGTCCCTCAACCCTGCATAAAGAAATCCCCATTGCTTTTAATAGCTAAATTGCTTTCTATGGTATCCACACATCCTATTCAACTATTTTTTTCCACTGAAGTGCATTTGTCTATTACAAATTTTTGGTAGTATAAGCAATGCACATGTATAGAGATAAAATTGAACATAATCCTATTTCTATTAGTTCCTAATTATACCCTAGTTCTTAGTCCTAATTTTATTTGAATTTTCTCTCTTTTTTTTTTCTTAATCAGACTTGTTAGGTATTTATATTATTAGACTTTCCAAGAAAAAATTTGGTCTTATTTATCAATTGTACTCTTTTCCCATTTTCTACATATTTTTTCTGCTTTTATCTTTGTTATATACATATATTCCTAATTTCCTCTTGATTTATTTTTCTACCTTTTTGAGTTGAAAGTTTAGTTCTTTTAGTTTTAGTCATTCTAGTTTAATAAAAAAACATTTAAAGCTATGGAACGTCCCCTGAATACAGCTTTCGTTATATCTCATAGATTTTCATATACAATCTTTTCATTGTCATTTATTTTTCTACAGTCGATATTTTCTGGGTTGTTTTGTTTTGTTTTGTTTTTTGGCAGTTAGCCAGTGTGGATATTTTCTATTTTTTNCATAACAGAAATTATCATGGGAGAGAACAGTTGGCAAGCTACTGTAACAGTCAAGAGGTGACAAAAGCTGGAGGGAGAACATGCTGGTGGTAATGGAGGGGACAGACAGACTCAAGTGACTGCCATCTGATTGGATGGGGTGGGCAGGAGAGAAGGAGCCAAAGATAAGTCTGAGGTTGTGCTCAGGTGAGTGGGAGGACAGCAGTGCCTTTAACAGAGATAAGCGACACCAGAGGAGGAGCTGGTTTCAAAGGAAAGGTGGCAAGTTTGATTGTAGATATATAGCTTGGTAGTCAGCCAAGGGATTTATGCAACAGTTAATTCAGGATTGGCAAGAGGTCTGAGTTGCAGACAGATTAATGAGTCATGAGTGCAATTTAGTAATTAGAGCCATGAGAAGAGATAAAACTCACCACAGGTGAAACTGCAGAGAGGGAAGAAAGAGGAAAAGGTAAAGGGGGAGAAGAGAAAGGGAAAGAGAAGAAAGGAAAACAAGGAGGAAAGAGGAAGGAGTGAGCCAAGGCGGGCTGCACGGGGAACTCCAAATGGGGAGGCAGATCTGAAAAAGAGTAGGAGGCACTAACCAGCGGGACACTGATGGTGGCGGCCGAGGTGCACAGCGCACCTTCAGGCAGAGCCAGCCACCTGCCTGGGGAAGGAAGTCACCGTTAGACAGCAAGATGTTAAGCGTCCTTAAAATTCCCGCCCCCCGCCCCCATACACAACTACTTAAAACGAATAAAAACCCTCTCCTCTACTGGCCTGAAAACCAGGCCTTCATAACCCTGGTACGGATGAAGGCTCCGAGCTCCAGGAGGCCTCTGCTAAAGTGTCCGCAATCCAGCAGCGCTCGGGGACTGGGTGGAGACTGGAAGCCCCTCTCCTGGCTCTTACCACACCCACAAGACCCAGGATGGGGTCATCGACTCCTGGCTACTGCTGGGCAAATGTCACCTGGCCGTGGCATGGATGACACCGTCCTAAACATACACATGGACGGGTCACTGTGCAGGGAGGTCACCCAGGCTAGGCGGGATCTGGTGCTGAAGGGCAGCGGGCGGTATGAGAGGGACAGGAGGCGGAGGCCTTGCTTGAACATGAAGAAGGAAAGGTCAGGAAAAAATGGGTGGGTGGGCCGCGGGGACATCCTGGTGACCTTTAGGGAAAATGCGCACAGACTCAAGCCGTTTGCCTGCCTGGGAGGCCACCGCGCCCACAGCAGGTGAACCGTCGCTAACCCAACACCGGTCCGAAGCCACTGCCGGTTTAAAGCAGGTTCTCCCGGTGCCCGGACTCCCCACCCCGCGGCGCCAAAGCCCCTCGCGGGCACCGCAGCACTACGGTTCTCCCTGAACGGTGCCGTCGCCTAGACGCGGGCACGGGAACGTTTGCTTTTTCAGACCGAGTCAGTCAGATTGTGGCCGTCCCCTCCCGCCGCCGCCCGCCCCAGACCGAGCGTGGGGAGCCCCCTGCGGGCCGCAATACGACCCCGGCGCCGCCGCCACCTCGCAGTCCCTGGGACCGCAGGGGACCAGAGGGACGACGACAAGGCCGAGCAGCGGCGACTCATCGGTTCCCCCTGCGGGAAATCCTTGTAAAGACACTGGGGAGTCTTGATGACCCCACGGCCAAAGTGATGGCTTTTGTCCTTGTGCGCTGGGGGCAAAGAGGAGAATTTAAGCAAAAAAGGGCTAAGCTATTGTGGCTGCTTCCTCCAGTAGATGCAGTGGTTCTTGGAAAGCATCTGAGTAGGAAAGAGAAATGGAAAGTTTTAAGGAATCCCTTCTGTAAAGAGAGGTACCCCAAATGGCTTCCAAGAGCTTGACATTTCTTTCTCTTGTCTTTTCAAATATTTCAAACTAAATCTCATCATATAATTCATTTTTGTTTTAATGTAATGCAAGTCCAAATGGATGTGTAATCTGCTTTCAAGAAATGATTTCTTCCTGGCCGGCCGGGTGGCGCACTGTTACAGTGCGCCGCGCGGTGGCGCTCCCGCCGAGGGTTCGGATCCCACATACAGACCGGGTTCCCGCTCGCCGGCTGAGCGAGGTGTGGGAGCAGCACCGAGGGTTGCGATCCCGTTGCCGGTCCCGGCCCGG